ACAATTAGGAGAACGACAGAGAACGCGTTCTTTTCTCCCTAAGAATGATGTCGACTTGTCTGGGACGTGTTCATCAGTTCGAAGAATATATTCTCAAGTATTTCTTGAGAGAAGGTCAAAGAAAGCATTCTCATTTTCATGGAATTCGATCCTGACCGTCCCAAAAATGAACTGTTCAGAAAGCTTTCTCTTCGGATGAAGAACGATTTTGAACGTGGAAGAAACCATCCTATAAAAACGTGGAACGACAAAGAATGCGTTCCTTCAGATGCATAACTCATTCTTGTCGCTCATGAACGCATTCGCCAAACTATAGAACGCGTTCTTCATGAGAAAGGTAACTTTCCATGTTTTGCTGAACGCGTTCATTTCCGTTTTTTTCCATGATTATTTTTCACTGGGTCTTCTTTGAACAGTGGTTCTATCCTGGGGCGAAACAGCTCCCGCTACCAGAGATGGAACTGGTACTGGTATGGATTTTAGACCGACCAGTCTATCAGTAGACCACTAGTTACCGGTAGGCCACTGGCCGCCCTACAATACTCAAACCGGTGTCTCAGGCGGTCAAGTCCGGTTTGATCTGCTCAGACCAGTACCGGTATCAGCTATAAAAAATTAACGCTTGTGCTATCTCTGTCTAACACACTTAACTTAGTTCTGCTGATCTGACCAAGAGTTGCTATTTTGAAACTCTCTCGCTATGTCAAACAGTCCAATTTTACCACTTTCCAGTGACACCGCGCTTTACTAGAGTGGGAATGTGGGTGAAATGGTCGTGAATGGGAAGTGTGTGTTAGTGTGAACAGATGGCTCTGTAGGTGGATGTGGACGTATTGTAGGTGCGTGGGTATTCGTGTGAGTTGTTGGTGCCGATGAAAAGAAAACTCATACCCGTCTGATGAGACAGCGAAGAAGACGTCCTTTTAGGAAGTGCGTTTCCATGAAGTTCATTAATTATGTTGCTTTTCATAGTCTTAGTTTCTCGCGGTCTTATTTTGCTATCAGATCAAATTAATGTTTTATTTCCCTAGCTGGCTGGTTTCAATCCTAAGAGAACATGCATAATCGGATTCGACATTTCAGATGATCTATTGAATTAGTGACATTGTCGAATTAGACTTGTTCATCAATGAACTTTAACGTTCGAACAGAAAGCTCCATGATGAAGAATCGCTTAATCATCTACATGATTATTACTCTGACACTACTATTGATGATCTACATTAAATATTCGATCAATAACAATATTTTGCCATCCGAAAGAAGAAGTTCGCAAAGTGTTAATGACAATAGAATTCCATCGATTGTACATTTTGTCATTGGACAAGGTGATAAAGATGATATCCGGCATAGGTATCAAAGATCAACTCCATTTTCGTTCATCAACTATCTCACATTTCTTGCTGCTGGTCGGCATCTTCGTCCAAAGAAATTCTTTGTTCATTATTATTATGAACCTAATTCATTTTGGTGGAATAAAACCAAACTTGATCCTGAAATAAATGTTACCCTGATAAAGAGACGACAAGTAAAGGAAATTTTCAAAAAAAACGTAGATCATCATGCTCATCGTGGAGATATTATGCGACTCGAAATACTCATTGAATATGGAGGAATTTATTTGGATTCAGATGTATTAACACTTCGTTCATTTGTTCCATTATTGAATTTGAATGATGTTGTTATGGCTCATCAAGATGATCAAGAGGCAGCTTGTAATGCAGTGATATTAGCAAAAAAAGATGCCACATTTCTGAAACGTTTATATGATGCTTATCAAAGTTTCGATCAGAATTGTTGGGATTGCCATTCAGTCAGACTTCCAGGACGTTTAGCGTCGATCTATCCGAATGAAATCACTGTCTTACCTACTAACACATTTTTTCGTCCCAGTTGGAATGAAAAAGAAGCTTTATATGAATCAAACAACTATAATTTCACTCCGAACTATGCGTGTCATCTTTGGAATAAGATAAACAATCATAATTATCTCAGTCGATTAACACCTGAAGTGGCCCTAAGTGCAAATAATACTTTTGGACGAATGTTACGTCATGCCATCGGCAATGCTACTTTGATCAAACTCAAGCAATTCTTTAGCTCGTGAGATTATTCCTATCACTTCACATCTTGATTGAATACATCGCTCTTTCACAATGCAATCAAATATAAACTTTTCTATCAAGGACAGCATAATTAAGAGACACGCTTTTATGAAACACGATTATCAATATGATAAATTATATAACCAGAAATTATATAACCAGAAAAGTGAAACCACCCTTTCCTCAAGTCTACCCCATAGATAATGACAGAAATATCGACGTTTTTTGGACCCATCTCAAACCTTGACAGTCATATAACCGTACAACATACAATATTCGGATCTCAAACTTTCGAGTTGTCAAGGAGCTTTGGTATTCTGAATCGACTTACAATCATAAAAATTTAAATATCCGTTTTTTTCTGAGAGTGTGGACGTGTTTTTCTTTTCGTTCCTACTCACAGCCTGGGTGTGCGGATGACAGTGGTTGAAGTTTTGATGCAGACTAGACGAGCATTCGCAAACATTCACTCCTCGATTTCATAATTACCGAAAGACTCACTTTCAAATAACTTAACCATTGTACTATGGATTTTTTGAAACCCAAATTATGATGTGTGTTGTAGATTATAGCTAGAAAGCTGACCTCGACTCTGTCGTGTAGGTAGAAGTAAGCATGTCTGTAACTGCCTATGATGGTTTGAAGAGGTTTTCGACATGAATGTGACGGTCTGCATTGATGTCAGCACTTTTAAGTATGCATTTCACGGTCTGTGAATGGTTCGGAGGGTTCTCGGTGTGTTGCTCTATAGTTCCAAAAGATACTGTGATAGTCTTAGCTTGTTCGATCATGGTTACAGTTGTCCTTCATATGTCACATTTCAATCCCATATGGATTATGCTGAAAACTATTCTACTGCTATGTATACCGATTCTGAATATAATATGCATTTTACTTATGAGTTGCTTATTTTCATAGTCAACTACTCTGACTACAGGTCAATTTTCAATATTGTGTTGCAGATGTTGAAGACATTTGGCTATCTCTGCATCATAGAGGAATAGGAAAAGAAGAAGACTTAGATTTTCCCCTTGTCAAGTGGCTACTTCAGTGATGTACAAATGAAGAATTTAAATCTTGGCACTTAATAGAAGATAGATGTGCAAGATTCGACTGTTGGTATATATTGAGACTGACTCAGCCAGTTTCACCTAGAGCACGAAAAACGGTTGAATTACATCGAATAAACTTAGTTACACACAATATTCGACGCTGAAGCCGATTAAATTGGTTTCATAGAGATAGAGTGATGGGATACGACTCAATCTAGAGTTTTTTTTTAATAACTGGTTAGTTTTAGAAGTTTTTACACTAATTCCTATTATTGTGGTTTTTTTCGCCCATTGTTATATAGAAAAAGCATCAAAAGTATAAATTCTGAATCAAAGAATCAAGTTCTAGCGCCCATGTATAATTGAACGAAATGAAAACTCACTCTGTTTTCTTCTTACTGCGTTTTCTATTAGTTGCTTTCTGGTACATGAGATGTTACAATGCGCTTCAAGGATGTCTAAATACTTTTTTCGCCTCCTGTAGAGTGAAAGAAAAGATATTTTTCTGAGTCTTACATGGCATTCTAGATATATTCATCTAAAGCATCTTCGTTCGACGTACGTATCAACTTTTATCGACTATTAGAAAGCATGTGGAAGGTCGTGAGAATTAAAAGAGTCGTTTACGAACTAGTGGCGCTCGTTGTACTGATTATTTGTTTTTTGGTCTGCTTCTTTTCATGCTCATCAGAATAGTCTGTGATTCTAAGTTTTTGTCTTTCGTTCGATAGATGGGCGAACAGGGAACTAATTGAAGGCAATGTGTAATATGTAAGAGTCTCGTCCTCACCAAGACCCTCTAATAGTACCATTGTTTGGCATCGCCCACTGAGTGCTTAGAAACAATCATTTAGCATTCTTCAGATATTTGTTTAGCGGTATGAAAGAGCTCTTCGATGTCGGCTTACCATGAAGTGATGTCTTAGTCGTCACTACCACGAAAAGGTCCAAGCGGTTGAATGTCTTTAACAAAGATTTGTGTCGAAAATTATGCCAATGTTTTTAGGACAGCTCTACTTTCTTTTCTTCGTGTTGGCGCTGAAACATACAGAACGTTTCGTTAGGCACGTTTGATGAGAGAAAACCGCTGTTTGTTAACCAACAGTGACGTAGCGGAAGAAGATACTAGGTGTGGGTGTTTGTTTCAAGTTCCAAGAATGTAGAAGAAATGATTAAGAGAGAAAAGAATGGCATCGGAAAACAAAAGGAAAATGTATATGTACATGATAGCACCTACTGATAAGAGAAGGATGAAGAGAACACACGATGACTAAGCACTTGAACTGTTATCTTGCGAAAAACAAGCTCTCACAGACGATCAGGAACAAAATAATTTTAAAAGTTTACAGCGAATTTTCCGTTCGATTACCATTCTTTATGGGTTACGGGTCGACTTTGTACCGCTATGTCGCGAATCAAGGCCTTGCCAATCGAATGGACCCTTTAGGTCGATAATCTAAACTAAATGCTTCGGGAAGATTTGGATTCCCTGAACTACTATTACTTCTATGCTGCCGTAAAGATGTTTCTCATTACCCACCAGGATATCTCACGATCGCTCGATGAAGAAATTCAAAAGACCTTGTGAGAAAAATATAGTACATTTATTTGTTTTTCGCTTCTTTATCACTAATTTAGTTCTTCTTTTCGCTCTATTTTTAATATTTCCTTAAAAAAGTGAATATTCTTGAAATTAAAGATAACCACAAATGAGTTTATTGTCATAAATCCATTTTCTTTATTTGTGTCACTTTCTTTCATCTAGACATCAGTCTATCGCCACATTTGTCGTCAAATAAAAATATTCATATTAGTAAATTTCACTTCTGACGTTAATAACTCCTTTGGCGGCTCTATTATGAAAAACAGTACAGGTAATCAGTTATAATAAAATTAGCAATTATCTTGCGCACGACTCGCCGTTATATTTTAGTGTGCAATAGAGTTCGACTGATCGTCATAACAATTCTAGTTACTTGCATAGTCATCATAGTATCCTTCTCTCACCGACATCGGTTACGATACTTGCGCCAGTCAGCATGCTGGAAAGCCGTTTCTGCTCCAGTGATTTCCCACTGGCTTATGGAATTTCAACAACACGAGCGTCGGATCTTTTCTCAAAATGGTGAAGATGGTGTGCTCCTCTGGATCTTCGCCAATATCGGTACAATTCATCAACCACCTCGTTTTGTTGAGTTCGGTGTTCAAAGTGGCCAAGAGTGCAACACACGTTTTCTTCGTGAACATCTTGGATGGCAAGGTCTAATGATGGATAATAAACATGAAAATCTCTCTATTAACCTTCACCGTGAGATGATTTCTTCAAAAAATATCAATGACTTGCTCGCAAAACATGGAACTCCATACATCATAGATCTTCTTTCGATTGATATAGAGTAAGATGTTCTCCTGATATAAAAGTGTATTCATCTCTGTTCTATAGCTTCGACGATTACTTTGTTTGGAAGTCAATCCTGCAAGCCAACCGATTCCATGCCCGTGTAGTAGTTATCGAATTTAATTATCAGATCCCCCCAACGAAAACCGAGTTGTCAATCCTAATCAAAATTCACGCCGATGGACTGGTACTGTATTTTATGGAGCTGGAATTCTAGCCTTGTCAGCACTTGGGCGTGCTCACGGATATACACTTGTGTACGGAGAACAGAATGGTGTGAACTTATTTTTTGTTCAAACATGTCTTCTTGTCCAACAAGGAGTACTTGATGACGTCAAATCAGTAGAGCAGCTGCATGTATCGAAACCTGTTGGTCAATGGAAACATGCATCTGAAAAAGACAAGTCACGAGCTTGGATATGGAATGATACTATTTGGAACTAATTATCCAGAGAATATCCGTGAAAAAACTGATTCACGTTAATGATGGAGACCATTTTTTACTAGATATGTTAACGTTAAAGAAAGTGCGCATGACGGCACTAACACAGTCGGCTGGGACAAAAATTTTGATTTTCGATTTTTTTCTATCTTAAAAGAAAGACTGTAGTCTCAAATCTCTAACTCCAAAGTTTTAGTTTTTTTTGAAACTGTCGATAAAGAATGCAGCCAATCAAGTATCATTTCGGAGTTCATTTTAGCATAAAGAAATATTTTTCACTTTTCACACCTATTTCATATTTTGCGATATTCTTTCACACAGCTCAATTGTTGTATACCTGTAACGAGTAGCGTTCATCCTGCGCATTGGCTGATCCTTTTCTGAAAGATCGTATAAGATGTCGCTGCACTTGAAGAGAGGGTTAATAGTCTAAAAATCGACGTAGTTATTTGGGCGTTAATTTTGTCAACCATTGCACATGGAACCTCATATTTTCTTCATCTTTTCCTGCAAGACCTCCTTCCATCTGAAGCTGAAAACTCTGTTTCTGAGTTAATCGTCAGGAGTATTTTTGGTTCGTGATTTCTTAGTGCTGTGCGCTTGTGTCTTATAAAAACGCATATTGTCGCACTGCAAAAGCTATCATAAAATTCTGATGGAAATATTTCCCTCACTTTGAGTACAACGTTAGGCATTTTTATCAAAGTAGCGTTCGAGAATGTAAACATATACACTTGTACTAGCTTTCCTGACTCAAAATAGGAAGGCACAAGGATTAATTCCAAATTTTAAGATAGAATTAGTCCATATGGACAATGAAAATCAAGCTGACTGAAGTTGTTTCGATCAATGTTATAGACAACTTAAGGTAACACAACATATGTCAATAACTCGAATCGGAACTTTTCTTCTCTTAAAAATGCATGAAAGGTAATTAACATTAGAAAATTTAAATTCCACTGACATGCGTCAGAAGAAGAAGCATTACTGTTACACCTAGTGTCGTAAGGTATAGTACACTCTTTAAAAAGACAAAAGGTTCTTAACTTAGTCACCAATCTGAACAGAGTATGGATGTAAGTGTGGAACGTGACTGTGGATGTGTGAGGG